CCACCTCTGCCTAGCCAGTTGGCACCTTCCACTGGCTCAGCAGCCACCATGTTCGTCAAGTACAGCACAATAACCAGGCTGCAGAACGCTTCTCAGCACTCAGGACCCCTGTTCAAGCCTCCGCCGCCCTCAGTGATGCAGTCTCTGGCCTCCACCTCCCAGTCAGGAAAGCCTCAGATCCTGGTGCCCCCCAGTGGGGTCGTTCCCCCACCCCCGCCCCCGCCCCCACCCCCCACGCCAGGCTCAGCTATGGCCCAGCTCAGACCGGCACCCTGCACCCCGTCCCTCCCACAGTTCAGCCCTCCACCTCCTCCACTGAAGATTCATCACGTTCAGCATGCCACTCAAGTGGCCCCTCCAACGCCCCCACCACCCCCTCCTGTCCCTGCACCCCTCCCTCCCCAAGCGCCCCCCAAACCCCTTGTGACGGTGCCCCCACCGACCAGCACCAAGACCGTGCCCCCTGTTACGACACAAGCTGTGCCACCCACACCTGCTCCTCCAGCCCCCCCAGCAAAAAAGCAGCCCACTTTTCCTGTGTCCCATATCCCCCCTTCTCCCCCTGCTCCTCCTGGTCCAGTCCCCCCACCCACGTTACCCAAGCAGCAGAGCTTCTGCGTAAAACCACCCCCCTCTCCACTGTCTCCGGTGCCCTCAGTCGTGAAGCAGATAGCCAGCCAGTTTCCGCCCCCTCCAGCCCCTCCTCCCGTGGAGCAGCCCTTCAGGCCTCCCTCCGCAAATGTGGCCCCACAGTCCCCTCCTGCTGTGAAAGCGAAACCCAAGTGGCAGCCCAGCTCTATCCCTGTCCCGTCTCCGGATTTCCCTCCTCCTCCTCCTGAGAGCAGCCTGGTGTTTCCCCCTCCTCCCCCCCCACCTCCTCCCCCCCCACCTCCTCCTCCTCTTCCTCCTCCTCCTCCACCGGCCCCGGTCCCGGCACCCCTGACAGCTACACCCTCAGCTTCTCCTGCCTCCAACAAAAGCGGATCTCCAGGCAAAAAGACCAGTAAGACATCCAGCCCCGGGGCAAAGAAACCTCCCCCAACCCCACAGCGAAACTCCAGCATTAAGTCCAGCAGTTGCACCGAGCACCCCGAGCCCAAGAGACCCTCAGTAGACAGTCTAGTGAGCAAGTTTGCATCGCCAGCAGAACCCCCAGGATCTCCCAGCAAAGAGACCCCACCACCTCCGGCAGCGCCCCCCAAACCCGGGAAACTAAATCTTTCTGGAGTTAACCTTCCCGGAGTTCTCCAACAAGGGTGTGTGTCGACAAAAACATCTGTCCTGAGTGGGCGCGGAAAGGACTCTGTGGTAGAATTTCCTTCTCCTCCATCCGATTCCGACTTTCCACCCCCTCCACCTGAAATAGAGCTTCCTCTGCCCCCCATAGAGATTCCAGCTGTATTCTCGGGAAACACCTCTCCAAAAGTGGCAGTCGTTACTCCTCAACCACAGCCATGGTCCAAAACATCGGTGAAGAAGGCCCCTCCACCCACACGACCCAAACGGAACGACAGCACCCGCCTCACTCAAGCAGAGATCTCTGAGCAGCCAGCAATGGCCACAGTTGTGCCGCAAGTGCCCACCTCTCCCAAGTCCAGCCTTAGTGTCCAGCCTGGATTCCTCGCTGACCTCAACAGGACACTGCAGCGCAAGTCCATCACCCGGCATGGCTCGCTCTCCTCCTCCCGCATGTCCAGAGCGGAACCCACGGCCACCATGGATGATATGGCATTGCCGCCGCCCCCCCCGGAACTGCTTTCTGATCAGCAGAAAGCCGGTTACGGAGGTAGTCATATATCGGGCTATGCAACATTGCGGAGAGGACCCCCTCCCGCACCCCCGAAAAGAGACCAGAACACCAAGCTCTCGAGGGACTGGTAGTAGCTACCATAGGACTTTATTTTCATGGTATCTGTAATCAGTTCTACAGTCAGCTCACCTGATCACCTATGATTTCTGGTGTTCAGAGCCTCCTAGTATGATGTTGTTCAGGTAGTATCCAGCTGTTTGTGTGTGTACCTGTGCGTGGACACACACAGCTGTACGTGTATGGACAGTGTGTGTGTGTGTATGTGTATACATAGCTGAGAGTGAGTCTATTTATTCCTTTTCTCTCCTAACCTGAATATGGGTTTGTGTATTTTGGGTGGAAGAGGCATGGAAGGGGATGTGTGTCCTGTCCCTTAGGATTTCTGTTATCTGTCATGTGGATTGGACCAAAAACTTCTAATCACTGACTTAGAAGGCATTTTATAAGTGTTCATGTGCAGCCTCTCTGTGCATGTTGTGTATTATATATTAAGGAATAGATGTATTATGTGCTGTTTCTCAGTTTGCGAAGACAGCAGAATGTTTGGTGTATCGATGGGACTCTTGTGTTTGTTTTTTCCCCAGTTGGCTGAAGTTCGAACTGCTTGGCTGACACTACATCACTTATACATGAAGGGGCACTTTAAATCAGGAAACTGTCAGCATCATGGGTGGGTCACTAGCGCAGAACGGGGAAGTTCCCACAGATGCTGTGTCCGTCCGTGGTTGTGCATAGGAAGTAAACACACGATGGAACTAAACCATTCTAGTTGTAGTGCCGCCATGATCCCACCTGTATCTAGGATGTGTTCTGTCACAGGTAAGCTCTTTGCCTACAGTACATGGATGATTTAGTACTGCAATCCTGGATAGTTCTTTTTGTACTGATGGAATCTTTTCCATGAGCTTTGCGAAGCCTCATCAAGCTTGGCTTCGTGATTCTTGTTTTGATTTGTCGTAAGGGAATATCTGACACAATACCCCTGGAATGCTCTGTCCCAGTATGTCTTTGGGTCACCAGTTATCTTATAGTGTGTGCTTTAGGTAGATGTTGATAGTAGAGATCTGTAGACAATTGGTCTATCAAATATACACATCCCATGTCTGATACAGTGCATCATTACAAAAACAAAATTAGCTTCTGAATTGCATCTTTTTTGTGTGTTGCTCTAGAATGTGATTAGGAAAGAGCAGGACTGCCCCCTGTGCAGGTATCATTTGTCGGGTTGTGTATGGACTATAATGTATAACAGAGAATCCACTGGAGTATGGGACTCTCCCAGAGGGAGGGGAAAAGGGAGGTTTTTGACCATTTCATCCTTAGCTACTAGAGCACACTCGGATTCTTGCTTGCTGTGGCCTGGTTGTGGAGATTTGTCCAGGTTCCCCGGGTGTTCTGGTGGAGTAGTGTAGTCCAAGTACAGTGAATGACATTACATATTCTGCATGTGCAGTTTGGTATAAAATGGAATCATTGCTCTAATGACACACTACATTCTCTATGCTTCACACTACGCTTAACGCCTTTGTTGTTGTTCTGTGAATTTTCCTTGGTATATGAGAGAAATATGTACTGTCTCATCAGTTTATGATGATGAAGTGACCATTACAAATAAAATGCAATCTCAGAGCTGCTCTTAAACAATAAAAACTAGCCATCCCAGCAGTGATAAATGAGCACATCTTGTAATCAAAGTCTCTACCTGTCATGAATAAGAATTACCAGTGCAAACTGCAAAAATCTTTGACATTGTCCCATAAGAAAAAAGTGAAGTCGGTGCAGTGGGGCAGAGATAGTAAAGAATTTAAGAATAAGCTAAAGTTGTACTATATACACAAGATACTCCTATAAACCCACCTCCAAAAAAAGGACTGCATCAGAGAATATGAAGTGGCACCTCTCCACTGCCTAGATCTCTAGGATATTATTCAGCAGTTCATGTGCTTATAGAGCAATAAGAATATGTACCATTGTGCATTGTTTAAAGCCCTGCTCTTTAAAAGATACTTTATGGATCTTCTCATTTGTTCTCAAACTTTGTGCGCTTGATATTTTTAGGCTTATGAAGTGACCTTTAACACATCGGCACTGTTAATTTAAGCACGCACAGCAATTTTGGTAATGGTTGAGCACAGATGGCCCAGCTCCGCTGTAACTCATGAGTGAAGTAATTTCCCACAGTTCTGCCTGCTGCCTGCAGTTTTATATTCTAAGGATCACCCTTATTTGTCAGGTAAAGTGATTAATAGGAATCCAGTGATAGAAATATTCATCACTAGGGTTTTTGTGGTGGTGATGGTCTTTATTTTATATGAAGGTGGACTTCAAGTTTCCTGGAGGGGAAAAACAATAATATTCCCGCAGTCTTCCTTCACCCATGATTTGGGCCCTAAGATGCAGCCTTGCTTTAGTTTTAGTCAGTGTGGCGTTCCCTAGGACTTCTTGGCTTGTGTCAGTCCTGACAGCCATCCGAACTGATGCTCCCGCGTTATCACTTTCCTGAAAGAGCAGACATCCTTTAGAACGCTTGCAGCACCAAGAGGAGAGCTGTGTTGTTTATGCCCGAATCCCAGGGCTTGTCTCCAACAGGTGGTTTTCTTTTACATTTCTCCAAAGACAGAAAAGGCTATTATTAATCAACTTTTCCCCCCCTTCGTTTTATGTGAAACACTGAATCAAAAAAACCCACGAAATAATACATTAGATTATACTTCTAGCTTTTTACTCCCTAGTGGGATTTTTGTTGGGATGAAGTTGTGTGGAGTTCCTTTGAGATGACTGTTACTTTTGGAACTTCTCTCTGGTGTGTTGTTGGAGAACACGGACTGCCGGAGGACACTAGGACGGTGCCTTCCTTCTTCCACTGCCGTCTGCTCAGAGGTCTTCCAACCCCATGTATCTGCTTCTGGTCAGAGAAGAACATCTGGGCAGCTGACTTGGCTGTACTGAGAAGTGAATAGCGTGCTGTTGAGGGCAGTGCAAATAGGCGCCTGTTTCAGCTAGTGACTTGGTTAATTAGTGACACCCTCCACTCCTACCACAGATCATTTCAGAATTGGTGATCACCCTGTGCTTAAGGTTTGGGTACTAATTCTGAAGGGCAGCAGAGCCTATTCTGTTAATAAATGACATAGGGACACCTGGGTGGCTCAGTCGTTAAGCGTCTGCCTTCGGCTCAGGTCATGATCCCAGGGTCCTGGGATCCATCCCCGCATCGGGCTCCCTGCTCCTCGGGAAGCCTGCTTCTCCCTCTCCCACTCTCCCTGCTTGTGTTCCTGCTCTCGCGGTCTCTGTCAAATAAATAAAATCTTAAAAAACAAACAAACAAACAGAAATGACATAGGTTCTAGGTAAGAATATAAATGCTAGACTCTTCTGTATTGAAATTTTATTCAGCTACGTTTTTACTACTCAAACACATTATTTCTTCAGCTGCTATAATATTCCCTTAGGATAGGTATTCTTATGGCTTTTATAGGTACCCACCTAACTGTAAATTGGATTTTTTTTTCATTTCTGGGACTTTTTAAGATGAGAAACATTGGTGACTTAAAAATTACAGGAAATAATTTTCACCAGAAAATGTCAAAGTAACGTAGACGTGCCGGTGTTTTACAGCCCTCTAAAATCAAAGTGCTCCTGCCCACTGGCGGCATATACTCCGCTAAGGGCCACGAACTACCCTGGAAGTCCTCTCTGTGTGAAAGTTTACTTGCCACTAAAAACAGTGCTGAGTTTATCAAGAAAGTTTATAGACAAAATTGGGAGATCATGAATAAATAACTCCAATACAGTGACAACTGAGATCAAGATTAATAGGAGCCGTGCATCCAGTTAGTTTCAGAAGCTGCTCTTCTGGGAGAATACAACCGCTAATAAGCTTGTGTCAAGGATGTAAGGTAACGAAATAGCCTGGAAAAAAAAAGTCAGGTAATGGTATGGACCGGTTTTATTTGACTATCAAGCCACCAAAAGAACCCTTTGTCACCTTTTTTTCTAACGCTAAAAGCAGTTTGTTACAAACACGAGGTGAATTTAAACAAAAAACCTTTCCCCTAGTTAATTTTTCATATACCTTCAAGAGCTAACAAATTACAACTGATAACAGTGTCTCAGATTTTATTCAAGTTTAGACCAGTTAAACCTGTATGGCCCTGTATGATTATAGGTGTAATGACTTGCTTTAAGTAGGTATAATAATTTGGATTTCTACACTTGATGAGAAGATGTCTGTTTCTAAAACTCCCTTTTAGGTTGCCAGTACCTTTTGGCACTTTTGGCTTTTGCTTATACACTTTACATCAATGTGGGTTATCCCTAGCCCTACAGGAATATGTGCACACTCACCAAGTTGAGATTTGATGCACAGAGAGATGCAAGTACAATGAGATATCCTATTTTTTTTAAGATTGATTTTCCTTTAAAAATTCAGTAGAACATTTCTACACTTTTAACCAGTCTATCCCTCCAACTAAATAAGTGCTCTGTTCTTACTTGTGCCCTTGGAAGGTCTATATGTAAAAGAAACCTGAAAATAAGCTGTAGAATAAATTTGCTAAGTAACAATATACTTGATAAACACATTAAGGGGAAAAATCTCCAATTTGTTTGCTCTTTGCTGAAGAGAAGACACTATCTGCTATAATCCCCAGTGCCTTGAACTCTTTTGGAGGAATAGCATTTTAAAAATATCCAACAAGCAAACTTTGAGGTGCTAATGAAAGAGAAGGAAGATGAGTATTTGTAGTTTGTGCAGAAATAGAGAAAGTGTCTGTCTCACAAGAGATCGCTTTCATCTACCTGAATGGGGTCTGGCCGTTTTCTACCAAAGACATTTAGAGAAGTGGGTCGAGTCAGGGTGATGGCAATTACTACATATTAAAAGATGGCTAAGTTCAGAAGTGACCCTGTTGATCACGGATGGCTATTAATACCAAGCTCTTAACTGTTGAAGCCTCAACCTCTTCTTAGGCAGAACATGCTTGCAGCACTTACAGACAGAAAGTCTTTGCATTTTGGGAACTGTCCATTGTTTGTCAGATTTATTGTAACCTAATACCAAAAACTGCCATTTTTCATGATTCCTACTTCCTATATATTTTTTTCTTCTTGTAAATAATCCCTCTTAGAAAATAAGCATTAACTGGAATGTTTCAAATGATTTTGCTTAATTTTACCATTTGCCACTAGTGAACTCCTTTTATAGAAATGTACATTTACAATATCATTAGCTTGTGCTAAATGTTGTAAAAACAGTTTACTGTTTTAAAGGAAAGTTGCACATATTTAACTGGGATTGCTTCTTTTCCCATTTCTTGAAAAAATGGAGTCAAGGCTTACACTGTTATCTAGGCTGTGGGAGCTTTGCCATAGATAGATATAACGTAGGAATATAGTTTTTTAAAGCATGAAAAGAAGGCAAAAGGAACTGCATTATAAAGTACCTAATAGAGAATATTATTCAAGATTATGATTATGCACAGCTCGGTAAAGGTGAAGTTACAATTTTTTTCAGCTTTGTTGCTATTTTCTTCTGCTTAAATGTACGCTCTCATTTCATTATGTGCCTTGCTCCCTGATTGTGCAAACCTATATATAGATATATATAGATATATATATGAGAGAGAGATATATTCAGTACTACTGACGTTTTTTTTTGTTCTACTGCTGGATTAAGTTATTTTCCAAATTACCAGTTACTGTCGGTGAACAATTGTAACGGCTTGGGACAGTAGTCATACAGTGTAAATTTTTGTTTGTGTTTTCATTATGTCCGCTTACCCAATCCTTAATAAAAAGAATACATAGATTTCATTTAAACATGGGGACTTGACTGTTTGTGGATCGGCATCCTTAAGAAATTGGTTTTGGCTGTTTATGTTGCGGTGCCCGTAAATAAGCTGTGCAGTAAGAACAAATTAAGTGGGGAGGTAAATTAAACTACAATTTGCTATGTTCAGCTGGTTAACTTTTAGTTTGTACCAACAGAAGAGAAAGAAAGCTTTGACTATTGAAACTAAGATTTTCTTCTTTAAACAAAGTAAAGTACAACCAAATCCAAAATGGGATGCTTTTTGTTTCAAAGCTTTGGTATCACACCAATTATGTGTTGGCCTGCCATGTCAAGGTATGTATAAATATGTATTTATAACTTATTTACAAATCACTATCGTTTGTCAAATGAGGGCAAAAAAAAACCCTTTCCTTTTTGTATTAAAAGAATTGTATTTAGGGGCAAGTGATCAGAAAACCCTCAGGTTAGAGCAATAGGGAAGGATTCTCTCCAATACACTTCGATTTACCAACCTTAGTAACCTCTTTGGTTACTTGCATAAAAGCATTCACAAGACATTTGGACATTGTAGAATTTTATTTAGGTCAAGTTCTTAGTACACAACAACAATTTCAAATACAATTTTGAAATTAAAAAGTGAAGATTCCCCCACACTCAGCTGGAGGTGGCTTAATGGCACACACAAGAAACGTTACTGGCAACAGACTGCTCCCTCAAGTTTTCCTGCATGATTTCTACTCAATTCAGGATACCAACCCTCCCTGCAGGAGCTTAAAAATACAACTGGCCAGATCACAAGTTGTTTAACATTCTTTTCTGTAAACCATTTTAAGAAAAAAGATGCATGGACACAAAATATGAAAAACTGCTTTTCCATAGAATTCTGAAGTTGCAAAAGACATTTCCATCGTAATGTGAAAATAAGCTTTTCGTGTTTGTGTTTTACAAAAAAATCTCAAGATACTGAGCAAGGATCATTTATACACAGCTAGGCCCTATCGTTTCATTTGTCAGTTTTTTTTAAGATTTATGAAATTCTCAATAAGAAACAGGAATAAAGTAAACGTAAGGTTATGAGCACAATGTCTGTTTAAGTACTGTTTTCTAAGGCTCTCTCAACTAAGGCTCTCTGCTGTGCTGCCAGTGCTGAAATCAGGTAACCTATTTTTGCTACATAGTACTGAGTGGAGTAGTAGAAGGGTTAACATGAAGATAATTTTCACTAATTAAGTTGTGCTTAGTACACTTCTTTAAACAGTTTGAATACTGATGGAATTTATCGAAACAGCGTATCTTTTCAAGTATCTTCCTGAAGACATCAAGTAGCACTCATAATTTTTAAAGAAACATACAGCATATTCAATTAAGACAGCTGTAGAAAGTACAGGCGTTGAGTCAGGAACTCTAGTGTTGTTAACTAGCTGTTATCTGAAATGAAACATCTAACCTCATCAATTAAAATGAACTAAAATTTTTTAAATCTCAACGTAGCTCTAAAATTCTATGATTCTAAGTAAAGCATGGAAGGGAAATCATCACCTTAACACCAGTCAGGAGTTCCTGGCCAAAGAAGTTCAGAAGTGAACAGAGGGGAAGTGACTCAGATCCCCATTCTTTTCGAAGACTTGGCAGTCACCTGCCAATTCCTTCATCAAACCCTTTTCCAAGGGAAAGGTGGCCTTCAGGATATGTCATGCTCTCTCCACCGAGGAGAAAAGGTAATTAAAAAATAAAAGGAACAGTTCTTAATGCAGAAAGGTACCTGCTAAAAGAAAATGAACACAAAAGGATAAAAGCAAACTACCATCATTTTGATGCCTCTCAAGCAGAAAAATCCTAAGTAATCATCTGTAATCAACATAAGACTGCTAGGGAGCACAGCTCCATCACAGACATCACTGTAAAGATGCATAAACCTTCTGTCTAGCTGGGTAAGAAACAGCAGCAGGATGGGGAGAAAGAAAGGGAGGGATAAGAAAGTCTCACCTAGTGACTTCTAGGAACACAGCAAAGGTAGCAGGCCCTTGCCACCCCTAAGATGGGAACAGCAGGTAGCCAAAAAATGGAGAATACTGAACAAGACATCTTAAAAGAATCATATTTACTCCAAATACAGCAGGCTGAATCTCTCAGGTCTAGATCTTGACACTACTTTGGTTTTTGATTTATTGCCTTAGCCATAAGGTCAACAAGAAAGTTATTTTCATTCATCTCCTCCAGGCCTTTCAAAAAGTAGTACCAAAAGTGGGGGGTGGGAGGGGGAGAGACTCTTCAGTCACTTTTACTGTTTTTAAGGAAAAGCACTTCAGAAGGATAAAAAATCCCCTCTCCCATTAGATTCCCTCTATCCTGTTAAAATGGTTGCTTACAAGTCAGATTTTAGACTTGAATCATCTTTGCCACAATACTATGTATCCTGTAAGATTTCTGCATTCATTTGGAATTCCTACTACCAACCATCCTGTAGTTCATAAAAAAAATAAATTGGGGGGGAACTTACGATAAATCAAGAAATACTACCTTCACAGACTATTAATAGCATGCAATCTGTGAAATATTACATACATTAAAAGTCTCCAATTACTGTAGGCCTGGCCCGTATCATTACATAGAATCCTTCCAAGACAATATATAGAATTCAGAACTGTACAAAAATTTAAAATATGCAGAAAATCCAACAGGTGTTTTTAAAATAATTGTATACATTAGTGTTAAATAATACAGAAAAAGTCAGCTGACCGATGGAGCCCCCTCTGCTGCAGGTCTTCAGTATGAAGGACTGCACCAGTGTCTTCTGCAGGCCACAATCCAGCAGGGGTCCAACAGGCAAGGTGACCGCCACCAACTTTTTTTGTACAATTATCTTCTCTGCTTCTGTAGGTGTGAGCTGTGAATACTACATTGGATTTCAAAATACCTTCTTGCCTTAAAAATCCACTAAGCTTTCTCAGCACAAAGCTATTGAAGTAAAAACTGGAACACATCTAAATTTCAAAACAGTTTTCCTAGTTACACACCAACACTAAGAAGAGTTTAACCTATCCAGGTAGATAGTCTTGGTCCATAATGAACCTGAAGGCTCAGAGGACACTCAGGGCCATTACTTTAAAGGAAAACAGAGCATAAAGAATGTCAAGATGACCTAACAAAAGCATGAAGTGGAGGCAAGTTAATGAACGCTAATGTTGAAGAAATCTAAACGCAAAATAGCTACCTTGCAATATGTGGGGGAAAACCCCTGCAACTTTAAAACAAGAAGTCTTGATAAGGGAACCGTATATCTGGGTCTGTTAAATAGTGATGAAGTTTTGTGCTCCGAAAACAGATCTACAAGTGGAATACTAACTTCTGCTTACACGATCTGAATTCCCTCACACACTAGTGCACTTGTTCATTTTTCAATCAGATCCCCCTACCTACATTATCCTGTTCAAGGCCTTCGTTTGAAATAAACGCAGTGCTTGCCTCTCCCCATTTTACCCAGCACCAGGAAATGACCTGGCAAAGTCCCTGCGACAGGGACAAACCCATGGCAGCTCTGGGCCCGTGAGCTGGGTCCTCACCACAAAATCCAGCTGCTGAGCAGCAAGCCCTCCTGGACCCTTTCATGAGTATTTCTTACACTGCTTAAAGAAGAGACGGTTAAAGCCAGCTGCCTTACAGGCTCCACTGAAGGTGAAGCTGTAACTTGTACAGACAGAAAAAAATACTGTTTCGCTCAAAATTATCTTGATTTTTATCTATGTAAGTAGATGAGTATTTGGCCTTAAACCTCTCATCCCACTATTCTTAGTCCAAGATAGAAGGTTCAAATTCTTGCCAAGAGCAGCGACTTCAAAGAAGCCAATCAAAAACCGGGAGAATATTTACCTTTCCTAGAACTAAGCAGACTCAGCAGCAGCTAACACTGGCCATTAACAACATTCGGGGAGCACAGTAGCAAGCCTTTGATTCCCAGTGACTGTCAAGGGACTTGACAATAACTGCTATTTTCCAAGAAAGAATGTTTTCCTAAATAGTGAGAGAAGTCAAGAAATAGCTGGTCTGACCTCCAAGATTCTACTCCTGGAAACAGTGCCTAAGGCAAAGGTCTAGGATGCCTAGAGCACAACATTTTCTCCAGGTCAGTCTCTTCAGAACCTCAGGAACCTCACGTCTAGCTTCACACACCTGCTTCAGTCTGTGAGCCAGGCGACCACGCGTCACACGCCTGGGCCCACAAGCCCTCGGTGGCAGCTCAGTCTCCTGCAGCGGCCGCAGCACATTGAAATCAAACCAGCAACTGTTAACCACCCTCGCAATGTTTGGGGACTCACTTCATCATCCTCAATCTACAAACTGAAAAACATGAAGGGGGGATGCAAGTCAGCAGCACTCACTCACTTGGTGCACTCAAGTGCTGAGAGAATGCGGAATTTACAGTGTTAAGAGGAAAAAAGCCATCGAAACAGTTATAAAAATGGTTACGTATGCTATTTAAATACTAGTTGTCTCCTCCTCATCCAAGTGGAAGAAAGTGTGGGGCTAGGGTACAGCACTAGGGCCATGAGGCTGACCCTCTAGCACAGGCACTGAAGAACATCCAATGCCACAGATTCTGCAGGAGGAGAAATCCCAAGGGTGTACAGTATTCCTGAGAAAGATCCCAGATTTTCTGAATCAGTCTTAACCTGATTTGTTTTACAGAGTTATATGCTGTTATACCTCTGACATATTTAGAAATGGTCACTTTATTTTAATCCAAACAGCTCAGCATAGTACAAATAATGGCAGAAAGATCCATTTGTTCAGATTCAGCTTGCTTTTTTAATACTGGGGAGTAAACCAAAAAAACATAAGTAGTTTGTGTCATTTGTATCCTTCCTTCATTTCACTGGAGGGGAATCCCCAGGGCCTTTTGATAATCTGGGAAGACCTGACTATTCCTGTGAGGGAAACACAGCCCTGCTGAGCTTTACTCAGAATAATGCATGATAGACTCAACATAATTCCCCGGAAAGAGCCCAGTCACTCCGTTCATAACTCCCTCATACCAACCATCGTCATTCTTCTTGATGACATAAATAATGGCTCCTTCCTGAAAGGACAGCTCATCTTCCTTGTCTTTTGTATAATCATAAATTGCCACAACTAGAGGGGGGAAAAAAATAGGATATGAAAAGAATAACATCCCCAGAAAGACAGACACAAATAAATGAATATCCATCCTTTCCCAACTGCTGCAGTACTTCAGTGACTTTCTAAACACAAACTAAAAAAATTTTTTTCTAATACCCAGTTATATACAATGAAATCCCATCTTGGAGAGGTCAGGTTCAGAAGAGTATAAAAGGGAAGAAAAAAAAAATCACATTTAGTCAAACTTACCCTTCAGGAGCCTAGGGGAAAATACCTTACTGAACCAGAATCGGGCAAGATGGCTGCTACTTCAGCTGAGCTTGTTTAAGCACCATATTGTGTAAAAACACGTATCTTTAAACATCCGAATTATACTAGTGCAGTAAGATGCACCATAAAAGGCAAGTGAGAAAATGAGAATAAGGGAATAGCGGACATCTCCAAGTTTCTAGAACCTATACCTATTCATGAAGTAGAATAAGCAGTTGAATTCCCACGAGTTCTATGTGTCAAAAGTGGGAGTTTACTATATATATTCTTTCAAAACACAGGCTGCATTTTGCCAATTTAACATATCCACAATGATGGGCCAAAAGTTTTAAGAAAACAAAGATACCTGTCAGGCCTCCTGTAATTTTCACTGCTTAATTAACTTGGTAACAAAGCTGATACAATCTCTGGTTGCTGATCGTTAGACCTCAACTTGGGATACCTTAAAACTTGCTCAACTCCACATGAAGATTTATTTTTATAAAAGGATCCTCCGTACCTTTATTATACCATTCAGAACTTCACTCAATAAAATCTCCATCTAGCCATCATTCTGATAAGTATATACTGACTTTGTTAGTTTCTCATGCAAACTTAATCCTCACATAAATAAGAGAACAAAACAACAGGGACTTATGATTTAGTGTGACTTGCCCTAGTTACTTTTTGTCCTGGCCTGCTTCAGTAAAAATTAATATGGCTTTCTTAATCTCTGAATATTTGCCATTATAGCAATCTATTAAGGATACCAGAAAATACTTTAGAGGAGCCTCGGAAGAGTTCGTAGTGTGTACTTCTCAAAACAGAACCAAACACCTAAATACAAATACATTAGATGACACAGAAGTTTAACTAAATGGAAGAGAATACAAGATATGTAGAGTACTTCGTACTTCTAGTCAACTTAACATCTTTTAGCTTTTCTTTGAATTAATAACATTCTTAATGCTTCTGGAAATGCAAACCCCCTGCAAGTAATTAGGAGGAGAAGTCCTGCTAATTCTACCTCCTAAACCTCTCAAATCCAAACACTTTTCTCCATCATCAGCAGTCACTGCCCTAGTTGGGGCAGCAGGCTTTAAGAATACACCTATCACCCAGTACCTAAAGATTTTCTGAGCAATATGAGTGACAGATAATTTTATAGAGATACTTTCTAGATTTTCAACTTTAAAAATACTACTTCCTTACACCCAAAGCTAATATAACTTTGTATGTTAACTATGCTGGAAATAATTATATATATATATACATAATATATATATTCCAGCTTCCTAAAACTGGTCTCCTGGAGATACCTTCAATCAGACATCAGTCATAAAAATTCTCATTTCCTGTTTATCCTTAATAGTGGACTAAAAGTACAAAACAGTTCTGGGTGCCAAAGGGACAATTCAAAATACTGGTGTGGTATTAAGAAGAATTACTCCACTGATCAACCCGACCTGTTTGCAAAGTTCCTTTGCTTTTAACAAAATTTAAGAAATACTATACTGGAGTTACCAGCTGACACATGATCAAACATAATTTTTCAAGGCAGAACATTATTTGATTTTTGGCAGATAACTCTAAAGGAGTTAAAAAAAAATTGAGTGACGTGCCACATGAAAAATACTTCCATTTGTATCTGCTTATTTATGTGAACAAGGTTTTCAGCACCATGGCCTCACTTGAGGCCCTCATCTCTTGCTTAGGAAGGTATCCAGCCTGGTCTTCCCTATTCCTATTTTTCTTACTGCCTAATGTATTACCACTATTACCAGGTTATCTTAAAAAAAAAAAAAAGTTAAAATATAAGTTCACGGGAACTTATAAACCTGCTTAAAAATATTCCGCAAGACTGATGAATCACGGATCTGTACTTCTGAAACAAATAATGCAATATATGTTAAGAAAAAAAAAGAAGAAGAGGAAGATAGCAGGAGGGGAAGAATGAAGGGGAGTAAGTCGAACCATTAGAGACGATGGACTCTGAAAAACAAACTGAGGGTTCTAGAGGGGAGGGGGGGTAGGGGGATGGGTTAGCCTGGTGATGGGTATTAAAGAGGGCACGTTCTGCGTGGAGCACTGGGTGTTATGCACAAACAATGAATCATGGAACACTACATCAAGAACTAATGATGTAATGTATGGTGATTAACATAATAAAAAATTATTTAAAAAAAATATTCCGCAATTTCCCTCTACCATTAGATTTTTTAAAAAGAAAAAAAAAAGCAAACACCTCAGGCTGGTATTCAAGGCTTCCCACTACTAATTACAACTCACCTTCCCTTCATACCCCACCCTCTCCCTACAACCCCCCATGTTACATGTGACACTACTCACCATATCCCAAACCGCCATGCCCTTTCACTCAGAGGATTCTGAGTGAATCCTTCTGGACAGCCCTTCCTATCTTTCTTCTTTGCCTGAGAAACTCCTACTCATCATTCAAGACACACCACAAATGCCATGTCCTCTGACCAGCTTTCTGGAATCCCCAGGTACAATTAATGGCCCTATTCACTTTTTGACAATCATTAATGGAGCATCTATGCTGATTTTTAGACATAAAAGGTGAACAAGACAAGGGACTGTCATAGTCTTGTGAAGACAGAAATGTTGTCTGATGAGTTACCATACATGGTTTATACTTCTACCAAGAAGTTACATCACTGAGCTGGAAGAACACAAGAACAGATGGCTTGATAGAAGGAAGGGATATAAAATGGGCACTGACAAGTTGAAGTTTGCCAGGAAGAATTTAACGCTAATAAAAAGTACAGGTAAGACTCAATCCCAGGTCTGAGATCAAGCTGAGGACAGTGGTTAAGAATGTGGGCTCTAAGGGAAAAAAAAAAAAAATGAATATGGGCTCTAGGGTTATATCACCTAGTTCAAATCTCAGCTCTAGCACTTGTAAGTTTATAGAACATATTTAACTTTCTTAAGCTTCTTCTTACTCAACTGTATAATGGGAATTACAATAGTGCTAATACCTCAAAACAACAGAACATTGTTATATTAAATGAAGCAATGCACATACAAGATATAGCCCAGGGGCCTTGTTTATGATAAGTAAACATTATATAAATGTTAGCTTCTTTTATTATCATTAGTAACTATTATGATATACTATCTTTTTTGTAACACTAACATTTTCTGTTATATAAATTGTTTTTGAACCTCAATTTCCTAGTTTGCAAAATGGGGAGACTAATTGCCTTACATACGTAGTAACTTTAGCATTATGCTAAGCACATAATAAATACATAAAAACATCTGTTCTTTACCCAAGTTAAATCAAGATCCTCACGTATACACATCATCTCCATCTGGCTAGTATAGCAGTAATCAAAGGTTAAGATAAACCTCCTATGGCAGTGGTTCTCAACCTTGGAATTATCGCAGCCTTGGAATTATCGCAACCTTGGAATTATCGGAAGAACTTTAAAAAATTCTGATGCCTGCGATGCATGCCCATGGATTCTGGTTTCTTAGGTCTGGAGGTGCAGACATATTAAATGCTGCCTCGGTGACTCTAAAATGCAGGCAGGCCCTACAGTCTAACCTAACAAAATGAGTCATTAGGCAGCAGCCTTAACATTTGATGCACGTTCAAACAAAAAAGCAACCATAAGCAAAGCATGGTTGGTTCTTTTTGTTTTGCCAGAAAGAGTAAGAGCTTACTTGATTTTCATGTTAAAATTCTGAACTTAACAGATAAATCAAACTTTGAAAAACATCCTAGAGAACAATTCAGGCACATTCTTTTAAACTCTAAAGAGTTACTTGGACTGAAAGAAACTCACTTTCCTCTCTTATAAATTTCCCCAGATTTTTAACATACTCACTGAAGAGTACATTTTTAGAAAGCAAACCTTTCTTTCATTGTGCTCTTCTTTTAAGGAATAACTGAGCTGGTTTTTCAGAGCTGAAAACTGTCGTCACTTTATCTAAGAGTCTGTAGATAAAGATAGGGAGTTTGTAAAACATGTCAATGCCCAAAGCCATACCCTACTACTGTAGGACTTTGGGCTTTTTTTCTTAAAAACAGCTTTATTAAGGTATAATTTAGACACAAAATACAACCACTTACGTGTAGAGTTCAATGAGTTTTGTCAAATGTATGCTCTGTATACATGACAAGTACATCACCACCACCACCACAATCATCATACAGAACATGCCCACCACTCCGAAGTTTCCTTTTGCCCCTACGTAAATTTCCTCACCCACCAGTATTGGTCCCTGGAAACCACTGATCTTCTAGATTTCATTTCAATGGAATCATGAATTATGAGTCTTTAGTGTCTAGATTCTTTCATTAGAATAATGCTTGAAATCCATCCATACTGTTGCTTGTATCAATAAGTTTGTTCCTTTTCTTTGCTGAACAGTATTCCATTGAATGGATGGATATCCCACAACTAGTTTATCCATTCACTAGTTGAAAGACACTTGAGTTGTTTCCAGGTTTTAGCTATTGTGAATAAAGCAGCTATGAAGGTTTGAGTTCAAGTCTTCGCATGAACATAGATCTTCATTCCTCTTAAGTAAATATGTAGGAAGGGATTGCCAGATCAGTTGGGCAAGTATGTCTAATTTCATAAGAAAACAGACAGCTATTTGTCAAAGTAGCTGAAACATGCTGCACTCTCACCAGCAAAGCCTAAGAGTTCCAGTTTTACCACACTTCCTCCAACACTTGGTATTGTCAGGGTTTCTAACTAGAGTCATTTTAGAGGGTGTGTAGTAGGATTTAGTTTGGTTCACAGTGGCTTTAATCTGCATTTCCATAATGGCTAATAATGTTAAGCATCTTCTCATGTGCTTATCTGCAATTCATGCAGCTAATTGGTGAAGTGTGGTCAATTTTTTTTTTTCTACAAGCTGTTTGCCTCCTTACTGAGTTATTTTGCAAAAATCCTTCCCGGTCTAGGCTTGCCTTGTTATTTTCTTTACAGCATCTTTGAAGAAGAAAAGTTTAATGAAATTCAATCTATCAATTTTTTATGTGCTCTCTATAATTTTTTTTCCTAATCCCAAAACATAAAGATTTTCTCCTATATTTTTCTCCAGAAGTTGTATAGTTTAGGTTGGACATTAGGTCTAAAATACATTTCTAGGGGCGCCTGGGTGACTCAGTTGTTAAGCGTCTGCCTTCCGTTCAGGTCATGATCCCAGGGTCCTAGGATTGAGCCCTGCATCGGGCTCCCTGCTCAGCGGGAAGCCTACTTCTCCCTCCCCCACTCCCCCTGCTTGTGTTCCCTCTTTCATTGTGTCTCTGTCAAATAAATAAATAAAATCTTTGAAAAAAAAATACCTTTCAAGTTAATTTTTGTGTATGGTAAAATAAGGGTAAGAAAGTACATGAACATGAATTTTTTACCTTTACTTCACCATACAAATTTTTGTGGACTCACTCCTAACGGTTTTAGGTAGAATAAATCTGATGACTGTTGCTCTACCTTGGCCAGAAATGGAAGACCACTATTTGTTAATATAAGCTCCCCAAATGATGGCTATCCAATTGTTATAGCACATTTGTTGAAAACACTACCCTTCCCCCATTGAATTACCTTGACAACCTTTGTTAAACAATGTATGTGGATCTTTTTCTAGATTCTGTATTCTACTGATTTATATTTCTGTACTTATATCAACACCACACTGTCCCAAATACTGTAGCCTTAGTTTAAATCCAACATTAGTCTTTTTTTTTTAAAAAACTGTTTTGATTCTACGAGATCTTTTGCATTTCCATATAACTATCAGAATCCCCTTGTCAATTTCTCTAAGAATGGCTCCTGGGATTTTTACTGAAATTGCATTCAATTTACAGATCAATTTGGGGAAAAACCAATTATTGAACAATAATCAAAGAGCATAATATATCTCCTGATTTATTTAAGGCCTTTATTAATTTCTCTTAATGTTTTACAGTTTTCATCATATAGGTCTTACATATATTTTATTAAATTTATCCTGAAGTATTTCATATTTTCGATGTTACTACAAAAGGTATAGTCTTGTAAATTTCAATCACCAAATGTTTGTTGCTCGTATAATTTGGGGCGCCTGGGTGGCTCAGTTGGTTAAGCATCTGCCTTCGGCTCAGGTCATGATCCCAGGATCCTGGGAACACGCCCCGCATCGGGCTCCCTGCTCAGTGGGGAGCCTGCTTCTCCCTCTCCCTCTGCCCCCTCATGCTCTATCTCTGTCGCTATCTCTCTCTCAAATACAATCTTTAAAAAAAATAAAAAAATAAATAAAATCCAACTAATTTTGCACATTGACTTTGTAGCCTACAATCTTGCTAAGCTTGCTTTTTAGTTCTACCAGCTTCTTTGTGGATTCCTTGTAGGATTTTCTACATATAAGATCGTTATCTTCTGGGGCGCCTAGGCGGCTCAGTCAGTAAAGTGTGTGCCTTCGGCTCAGGTCATGATCTCAGGGTCCTGGGAGCCTGGCATCAGACTCCCTGCTTAGCAGGACAGTTTGCTCCCCCCGCCCCCGCTGCTCCCCCTGCTTGTGCTCTCTCGCTCTCTCAAATAAAAAAAAATCTTAAAAAAAAAAAAATATCGTATCTTCTGCAAATGAAGACTATTTGATATTGTCCCACATATCTGTTGCTCTGTTTTTTGGTTTTTCTCCATTCTCATTTTGGATAGTTTTTATTGTCATATCGTCCAAGTTGCTGATCTTTTCTTCTGAAGTGTCACTTTATATACTGTTATTTTTCATCTCTAGAAATTCTATATGGGTTTCTCTCTTTTTTTTTTTTAAAGATACTCTGCTTCTCTCTTGTTTTTTTTGTTTTCTTTTACTTTCTTGGACACATGGGCATTTGTAATATATAACAGCCTTGTCTGGTAATTCCACCATCTCAGTCATTTCTAGCTCTATTTCTACTGACTGACTTTTTTTAGTTATGAGTTACATTTTCCTGCTTTTTTACATGCCTTGGAATTTTTGATTGGATGCTAGACACTGTGGATCTTACTTTTTGGTGCCCTGGATTTTTTTTACTTTTTTGAACAATGTTGGATTTTGTTCTGGAGATCAGTTAAGTTACTTGAAATCAGTTGGATGCTTTCAAGGTTTGCATTTAAGCATTTGTTAGGGAAGTCCAGAGCAACCTTTAGTGTAGGGCTAATTTGGCCCCATCACTAAGGGGACACAGTTTTGAGGCCTCTTCTCTGTGCCTTGTGTATTGCAAGGTCTTTCTATTCTGGCTGGTTAAGGAGCATAAACTATTCTCAGACTTGTTATTTCCAATAATTTTTTTGTAAACTTCTTTCTGGTTGTTCTTTCTCCAATCTCAGGTAGTTTCTTCACACACATGTACAGATGAGTATTCAAAGACTTACGGAGACCCTTCTGCAGATCTCCAGAGCTCTGTCCTCTTTGTGTAACTTCTTCTTCTCTGTGGCCTCCCAAGACTCTGATCTCTACCTTGTCTATGCAGTGAGATCTCCAGGCTCTGTTTGGGTTCCACATCCTTGTACTGTAGCCCAGAAATTTCCCCCAGTTAGCAAGCTAGGACAATCAAAGGTTTACTTTGTTTGACTTCCTTCTCCATCATGGGGTCATAGTCTACCACTGCCTGTTGTCCAATGTCTGAAAATCATTATTTTTTATATTTTTTTCTGAATTCGTTCCTGCTTTAGGAGGAAGGGTAAATCCGATCTGCTTAACCTTGGCCAAAAGTGGAAGTCCACTATTTGTTAGGGTAAGCTCCCCCGGTGATTCTAATGTCAATTTTTAAAACCAGTGAGTTAGTGGCCTTGATTTCCTTAATAGAAAATTTCAAAATAGGATACATTTTTTTCTGAGCTAGTCTTGGTGAGATTTGGAAGCCTGTGTCCCAAAAGTGTGTCAGAAAAGTTTCATTCAGAGAAATTTTTCACTTAAAAAAATGCCCAGTACTACTTTGCAAAGAAACTGAGAAACTGTTATTGTTTAGAAGAAAGTTTCATATGCAGATGCTTAGCCTAAAATATCTACTAGAAGATACCACAAAAATAACTAATAATTTGGAAAAATCATCCTCTTCCTGAGGCATTCCAGAAAAACCCTATTTTTAAAATTTTTGTCTTACAGAAACCACTCATAAAAAAGCATATTCAGTAGGAACAATAAATAACCATCAGTATAAAATCAGATAGTCACAGAATTTTTACTAGTGTGACTTTCAAAAATCACGAACCTTGTAAACTAAATTAATAAGATGTTGCATAGGTTATGCAAGCAAAACTTTACCTATCAGTTAAAAAAATAAGTAAGGTTCTCGTCAGTACCAGTAAATTCCATTTCTATGTAGAGGTGTCTTCCCATCCTTCTAGATATCCCTCTGAAACTTACCCTTTTCCAAGTAAGATCTTGGAGCCCACGGTGGGTCCTCTTCAGCATAAGGATCACTATATTCAACCACAGCTGCTTCCTCCTCTTCATAATCTTCTGGGGGAGGAGGAGGGGGGGGAGACTCATCAAAGACTGGTTCTTCCACAGGTGGTGGTGGAGGTGGTGTATCTGAAACTGAGAATGTACCAAGCTGATAACAAAACTACACGTTATGCAAAGTTCAGTATTTCCTATCCAAGCTTCTATATACACGGAATATAAATCTAGACTTGAAAATAATGATCTTTCAAAAAATGAGTGGGCAAGAGAAGGCTCCCCACCAACTATAATGTTTCAAATCTCCAAGCATGACTTTCTCCTCCCTTTGGGTGAGGACTGATGGGTGTTGAATAAAGCTTAGCCAAAACAGTAATTATTAAATGAGCCTCTTGGAACCTGTTTATGCTAATACAGAATCCTCTTTTTCAAAGAAAGAGATAAGTACAATATAGTTTCGTTTTATATTATATCCAAGGAGCAGTGGTTATCAGAAATATTAACAATTTGGACATGTACAAGCATATTTAATTTATAATAAATTAGAATGCGCTTGTGTATAGTCAAATATTAGTAATCTACATTCCTTTTAATGAATTTTTTTTAAATAGCATTTTACCAAATTAGTGGAATGGAAATCACAAGACTTTGGGTAACTTCATCCATGAAGATGTTTGTGTTTGCTGTTTTTTATATAGAGAGAGAATTTCAACTAAATTCAGACTGATTTATGATCCAGAATTTCCTCAAGCTAAATATCCAAGAGTGACTTAAAAATCTCTCCTTGTAGAGATCTGCTCCCACAGCTCAAGTATCAGCATATAGTAACATCTAAAAGATTATCTCCAAACTCAGGCAACTCAAAGCTTTCAAAATGCCTGGTATATAACTGAGCACAGCTCAACAAAATAAACTGGGTAAAGCTGCATTTATCAGCTGCCCAATTTTATTTATTAATTGTTATTTATGAGGTACCAGTACTGTTTCTGTGAAATCCCCTGAGCAGTCCTGTTTATTTTCTATCTTTCATCTAAGCCTACTAATTGAATCTGAGAAGACTGCTGGTGTCTGGTGAGGACTGGCCACACCAGTATCATATTCTGTCCTACCCCAGTATTTTTCCACCTGCTGCCAGTCTACTTCCCAACCTCTCTGCTTGACGCACTTCAAAACTTTACCCATTAAAAGGGATTCTTTTACTCCTAATGGGTTTTTTAAATAAAAACTATAGATAGGTGATTTAGCATATATTTTATGACAAATTACATATGGTTGGGATAAGAATCAACAATATAACCTATTTGCACTTATAAGGTAAAGAGATTGACTTTAAACAATTACATAAAAACAAAGATCCAAAGGAACACTGTCTTTCAAAACAATCACCTTGAGAAATTACACTACAAAATTACTCAAAGATTCTGCCATTGCTTATTTTTACCATTTCTTAGAACACCTCAGAGTTAGTTTAATGAGACTGACATAAGCTACCATTTTTTACTTAAAATATTCCAATTACTCAGCTAGCACTTTCTGATACGTTATTTCATTTAATCTTTACCTTGTGAGGTGTGTTTTTAATCCTCGTTTTATGGATGTGGAAACTGGCTTTCCAAGATTAAGTAGTCCTACACTAAGTAAGTGGAAGAGCAGGAATTTGAACTTCAGTGCCTGTTATCTTAAGAGATACACTATTATGGGATGAGATCAGTAACTTTAAAGTCATGTTTCATGATTATTCATTCAACAAACATCAACTGAGAGCCTACTATGGTTAGCTACTATGCTCAGCACTGGGACAGAGCAATAGGCAAAAATCACAGAGACATGGACAACCAAATTTTCACTAGTAATTACGTGCAGTAAGTGCTTTAAGTCACTATGGAAAACACAGCAATAGACCAAAACTCTTATGTAGGTCAGGAAAGGTTTCCTGAACCTGAAGAATAAGTAAGAGTTAATGGCCAGAGGGGTAGGATGGAGTGAGGGTAGATATTTCATGTCAGATGTAAAGGAAAAAAAAAATACAAAGGTAAGAAAGTAGGAACCCTTCAAAGAACGGGCCAAAGTTCAGTAGAAAGAGGCATGAGGAAGCTGAAGAGGATTAAGCAGGAAGGGACTTCTAATAGTTTGAATTCTATCCAAAGAGCAATGGGGAGCCATAGAAGGATTATAAGAAGAAGAATAGAATCATAGCTGCACTACTCAGCCCAGTATACCTGTTTCCAAATAATTCCAAACTGTTTCCAAACATCGATCTTATTATAGACTATCTGCTACCAGAGTATCTTCAAAATAGTATACCTGAAAACTATGAAGATAATTCTAAAAGACAAGTCTGTATCTTTCCAAGGTGAATGTTTTGAAGAGAACAACATTCATTTGAATGCAGAAGTCCTGCTGTGTCTGTAAAATAAGCCACAGCTCACCTCATACACAAAGTTTTCTTATTTTTATACATTTTGTAGGTGAGAAATATATATATATGACTATGGAAAGAAAGAAAAGACTATCCCAAAAGGCAATCACACTGCTAAATATTGGAGGTGCTCATGCTCATGGTTTACCTTCCAATAAGCAAAAGTTAGACTATTTTCAGAAGCTAGCAAACAGAGATGCAAAGGCACCTGCAAAGAGACACTGAGCCTTAGGCAAGTAAGACTGGATTATAACCAGTTAAAATACAACATAGAAATGTATCCATAAAAAGGGGGCATTTGGTTAGCTATAGAAGCACAAAAAAACAAACAAAAAAACAAAATCCAGGGACTAAAGTGTCTGCTCTCTGTCAGATGCTTCTCTAAGTGCTGGGGAAACAGCCAGCCAACAGAACAACCAAAAATTCCTGCTCTCATAAGAGCTCACATTCTAGTATTAGCAATGCCCATCGAAGAAGCAGGAGTCCTAAGCAACAGACTGCAAACATTTCTACCCCTCTGGTCAGGCCATCCCTGTTACGAGATGCATATATTGGGCTTCTTCATACTGATGGCATTAAAACTTTCATTAATGTAATTCCCCTGGTTCAGATTCCATGCCCATCATGCAACCTAATGATTGTGATGTGGGCTCCTTGTATAGACCACTCATAAAAAGAGAATTCGTCTATCTTACGGACTACGTTCCCTGGTGTGTGTAACAGCAATTCCTCACTGAATGTGATACAGGCCTCCTGCTTTGTAGGTATCAGGCTCCTGAGCTTCCTTAATGCTTCCCTAGGAGAAGACTGAATGGGTCAATAAAATTAGTTATCTAATCCTGCATGTCTTGACCCCAGACCACAGGCCAATGTAAATTCATCGCCAATCTACGAGGCCTTTTGGGAGACAGACTGGCAATTTGGTCCCCTGAGTCCTATCACGGCATGGCCATCTTTACACCTGGAATCACAAGACTGGAGGAAGATGCTCAAGCCGGCCACAAAACCCTACAACTCCAGTGATGGGAAACTAGGCTACTACTTGTTTGAGCAACCCAGAGAAAAAGATGGGATATCTGGTGACTAAGTAGCATCTCCTTGGTTAGATGTGGTCTTTCTTTTTTTACATGTGCTTTATTTTACTTTTGTCTTATCTTCACTACCAGACTTTAAGTTACCTGAAAGCAGAGGACTTCATCTTAATTATTTTATCATTCACACTAGCTGCTCACCCAGTGACTTGTTCATAATATGCAAATATGTGAAGCATCAGCGAATGAATTACTATTCAGCCAATCATATATAAATGACATTTTATGCCTATAATCTGATCTACAGCATAAAGAAGACATAAACTTACTATTTTCTTGGACTCTGGCCACAAATCCCATTAAAGGTAACTGAGGAGTTACCTGTAGAATGGAGGGAGGAGGAGGAGCAAGAGATACTGCAAAAACAAAAAAGGTGTGGAGGATAAGGGGTAAGGGCAAGTTACATTAAAAGGAAAGGCTAATACAATAAAATGAACATAATAAGGAGGGAAACCACTATGTACAAATATTTTATAAGCTATCTTAAAGATTCTCTTTTGAGGGATAATACATTAACACAAAAAACAAAGTATTGAGGGGAGTTTAAAGAAAGTTCTAAAAATTGTAACAGGAAGCATTTATTATATACAGATCTATTCTAACATGTAACGGCAAACTGATCTTGTCATATCACTAACAACATGTCTTCTCAAAAAATTTTTGCAGATTATTACAAATAATTTGGTCTTCAGGATTTTAAAGGTTACAAGTTTAAATGTTCATCAATACCAGAAAAAAAAATTGCATCCCAACACCCTAAATTTATACTTTTCATTACTTCATTAACAGGCAAATTAATTGGTTCTTCATTCATTCATTAAATATTTACTGACTTTCTAGTAAGTGGCAAGCACTCTGCTAGGAGGCCAGCATCAAAACCATTCTGAGAGTTAGGTCTGTGTCATTACAATTTTTCATAATCCCAATTCATACCAAAAAAACACTGAACTCATTCAAATCATTCTCTCCTCCCCAGGGTGTCTTTCCTTCTATCCCAAACACCTGGTACAGTGCCTAGCACTAGTCAGCCTACAACAAATGTTTAATGTATGTAAATAAATAAATGAGGTACATGCCAAATAACTGCCCAAGATTAATTCTACAATTATAGTTTCCTTCAGAATGGGTATAAAGTGTAGTATGCATCTTCCTATAAAAGAAGAGAACAGCTTTATTAACTCTAAATTACAGTTAAGACTAATGCAACTGAAGAGATGAAAAAGAGTCACTGCCCTCAAAGAGACCACATTCTAATTGGGGTTACAAAACAAAATAATAACCTTAATCCCGCAATGTTTGTAGCAATCCGCTGGCGGGGGCTGTGGTGGGAAAGTTGGCATGGGGATGGTGTGAGGCGCTGGTGGGGGCTGGGGGGCACCAGGATGCGCTAGTGGTAAGGAAGGCCACACAGAAACACTCTCTGAGCAGGCACCAGAAGAAAAGGGGTTGAACAAGCAGACAAGAATGGAGAAAGACAAGATCAGAACCAAGTGAGGGGCAAAGGCTGAGAGGTATAAGACAGCATGACCAGTTCACAGGACTGGAAATGTTTCTATATATATGGCCGGCACAAAATAGCACAGAGGGAAAATACAAACCTGGAAGAGTAAGTGGGTAGGTATGAAGTA